ATTTACAATAACCAAATGATGCAAATAGCCACGTGTCCATGGACTGATGAATGGATAAAGAGGATGTGATACACACACACACACACACACACACACACACACACACACAAATATTACAGAGCCATAAAAAAAGAATGAAATCTTGCCATTTGCAACAATGTGGATGGAGCTAGAGAATATTAGGCTGAGTGAAATAAGTCAAAGAAAGACAAGTAACATTTGATTTCACTCATATGTGGTTTTGTTAAAGAGGAAACAAACTAACAAAGAGAAAAAGAGAGAGAGGCAAACGAAGAAACAGATTCTTAACTATAGAGAATAAACTGATGGTTACAAAGGAGAGGTGTGTGTGGAGATGGGTTAAATAGGTGATGGGGATTAAGGAATGCACTTGTTATTAGCATTTATGGAAGTGTTAAATAATTATATTATATACCTGAAATTAATATAACACTAAATGTTAACTAAATGTAATTAAAATAAAAATGTTAAAAAATTAAAAATAAGAATATGAGGGGCAAGAAATAAAATGGTATGGAGTTTTAACAAATAATTAGTGTGGTCTTAAAATTATTATATTATAAAAAATCAAATTTATATATATACTTGAAATATGTCCATAAACAAATACAGACACACATATATGTGTGTGCATGCAAACACATATACCCATTTTTAACAGCCTTTATGAAGGTATTTTTAATGGCTATATGTTATTTTATTAAGATATAGAGCATGTTATGTTACTCAATCATTTATAATTATTTTTGTTCCAGATATTCTTCTTTATCTACTTTTAGATTATTTAAATATGATAAAGTTCCAGAAAAGAGGCTTACTGGGTCAAAAATTTGTCACAGCTTTTTTGTTTGTTTGTTTTAAGGAGTAGGAGTAGAATTCAGTGATTCATCATTTACATACAACACCCAGGGCTCATCACAACAAGTCCCTCCTTAATACCCATCACCCATCTAGTCCATCCTCCACCCACCTCTCTCCATTTACCACTCAGTTTGTTCTGTTAGTGAGAGTCTCTTAGGGTTTGCCTCCCTCTCTTTTTCTTTTCCACCCATCTTCCTCTACATTCATCTCTTTTGTTTCTTAAATTCCACATGTGAGTGAAACCATATGGTATTTGACTTTCTCTGACTGACTTTGTTTAGCATCATACACTCTAGTTCTACCCACGTCATTGAAAATAGCAAGATTTCATTCTTTTTGATGGCTGAGTAATATTGTATTGTCATACATGCTCATTTATTACTAACCAATCATTTTGAGTCAAATCCTGATAGGCCTATAGAACTGGTATATTCTACAGACATTGGATAAAAGAGAGGAAATAACCAAAGAAACACCAATGTCTTATATAGACACAAAGGCAACAACCTTATTTAGAAGGAGACTTATATCCACCTGAAAAGTGATGCTATGGCCTCTTTATTTTTCACCAGTATTATAGGTAAATATAGGTTATATTTTGCTTTACAATTCAAAAGCACTTTCAAGCATTGTCATGAAGTACTTCAATAACAAACTGCAATATCATTAAAAAGTTTTTAGAAAGATGCATCTATATCCTGCTCTCTTTATCTTTTTAATGCTCTAGTTATATTTTATGTTTCTCTCTGCATTTAGTAGAATTCTCTGTTTATCAAAAAAATGTCAAGAATCTTCACTAGAGATTTAAAAAGTCTCTGCTTGAGACGAAAAAAAATAAAATAAGTGGCAAACTTTTGAAACTTTTGGAAACAATGTAGCTATAGTACAATTTAAAGACAGAAAAATAGTGGCATTTTTCTTTTCTATGATTTATGTATAATTTGTTCATTTCCACAGAAATGACATTTCTAAATTTTGCACATAGAGAAAATTACCTAGGTTATTTTAAGCCATAATTGATTGCCAAAATTATTCCCACTTTAATATACTACCCTACAAATTTACAAAGTTCATTTATCATGTAAGTTCTTAGAATGAACAAATAAAACGTGGATATGCTGATCCTGTATGTTGATACGTCATTGTCCAATACTAACATTTCAAACCTGACTAGGTATGTCAAAGCAAAATCTCTGACTACTATATGCTTTCCTTTAATTTTAAAACATTCTTTGATGATTCTGAATGTCTTTTATTGAGTAATTAGTGCAATGAATTTCTGACAAAAACATTTCTGCTTTACTAATTCTAAAGTGTTTTTTAAAGTGAGACATGAATGCTCTTACTGGATCATATCAGAATTTTCAAGACGGAATGCATCATTTCAAAAGGAAACTGATTTGTTGTAAGTTATAAAAAGGTACTTTTAGAGCATTTTAGGTGGATTTTTTCTAGTGAGTGGTGATGAGAGGTGAAAACTAATGGCATAGGTTTTTAAAAAAGTGTCAAACATCTTTCTGGTCACTTTAGCAAAAGTCACTCATTTCTCAAATCCGAGAGCTGTCAAAATCAATGCTAGAAAGGAAGGATTCATGTGGGGTTATTAAGTTTCATGTTTGTTTATTTTTCATCCTCAATCGGTTATGCCAAAGCAAAGATACAGGTATTGGAAGATCATAAATATTAGAGGGAATTGTCATGACCACAAAATATAAAAGTTCCATTTTCTCATATTTATTATCATGGTTCTCAGTAGCAATAAATCCCAATCGAAAGAAAGGTATATGAAAAGACCAATATATCCTTTTAAATCATGTGATACATATATTTCTATTATATTACTACTCAATAACATGTTAAATACCACTCTTTAACACTTTGAATATAATAATATTTAAAGGGTTCGTGTTAAGAGCATGTGTGTCAAAAAATTCAATATTAGTTTTTTTTAAAGATTTTATTTATTCATGAGAGACAAAGAGAGAGTGGCAGAGACATAGGCAGAGAGGGATGCAGGCTCCCTGCGGGGAGCCTGATGCAAGACTCAATCCCAGGACCCTGGGATCATGACCTGAGCCGAAGGCAGACACTCAACCACTAAGCCACCCAGATGTCCCTCAATATCAATTTATATTTACTTATCTATTATCATTCATCAAATTATACATATCTTGATTATGGCAAATTCCTGGAGAATGGGTCTGATTTCTTAAGAATGAATGGGAAACATTTGTGCAAATCATTCTCAAGCATCTTACTTTATGATAATTTAATTGAACTAATTTTTTAAAAAGTTCCCAGGGAAAAGCACATTATAAAGATTCCAAAGGGGAAAACAAACCAAAACAAAACATATAAATAAATAACATATCCTTTAACACTTCTACAGTTTGTGTGTGAAATAGAAACAGAGAGAGAGAGAGAGAGAGAAAGGTAGAGAGAAAGTGGGTTTAAGCATAAAAGTATAAGTATAAATATTTCAATATTTTATTGGGGCACAAATAAAGAATTACTAAAATTGAGAACTGAAAATACAGATATAATTTACATAATAATATAAGACATTTCAGTCATTGTTATAAAACCTCAGTAAAGGGGCACCTGGGTAGCTCAGTGGTTGAGCATCTGCTTTCGGCTTAGGATGTGACCCCAGAGTTCTGGGATCGAGTCCCACACAGGCTCCACACAGGGAGCCTGCTTCTCCCTCTGCCTATGTCTCTGCCTCTCTCTTGCATCTTTCGTGAATAAATATAATTTTTTTAATAAACATAATCTTAAAAAAAAAAACCTGGGTAAGGCAGAAAACACATTTAAGTAGAATAAGTCATCTAGAGGTGATTTCTAGTTCTCATAAACTGATTATTTTGTAAAAATTGAATAATTTTAGATTTTTCATTTTGTAATGTTTATTATTTTTTGGATATATGCTTATTGGTTACACAATTGGTAAACAGAAATGTCCAAATTATATTAAAATTTAAATACTTTCAAATTAAAAATTATAATGTGTGATACTTAAACATCTAAAGTAGTTAGAATTTGGAATAAAGGATATTATATGAATGTATATTACCATATTACTTGATATTGCAAATTTATCCAAAATATAAATATATTTGCCATTCTACTTAGAAATTTTTGTTGCTACCTTCATGTGTTTTTTTATATGCTAGTTACAGATTTACTAAATCTTTTTGGTAAATTTACATGGAATATTTTATTAAAATTAGTAATCCTATTAAACTTACTTGCAATAAATTAAAACTGAAACAATATTAAATATCTTTCACAATTTGCATTTCCTTAATTTACACTTTTGTGTCTTTCATATTTTGTGTGTCTGATGAATTAGCTTTTTTATTACATGTGATGGATATAATTTATTGCAAATTAATATGTGAACATGTTTGAATATGTATTTGTCTATATTGATAAAATGCTCAAAGGTTTACTATTATTATTATTATTATATTCTTAATTACTTAAGCTCTTTTGCTTTACGATTTTTCTAAATTCAATAAAATGTTTGATAGTCAAAACAACTGACAAAGAGGAAGAAAATAAAATAATTATATCAACTTTGAGAATCGATTGTCCTTCAAAGAACAATTAGCTTAGCTAATTGTTAGCTTAGCTTTCTTAGCTTTCTTAGCTTAGCTTAAGATATGCAGAAAGCCCCACATTGAATATTATTTCCCAAGAAGTAAATAATTAATTGCATTAAAAATATTTACTCTATATTTTTCACATATTTTTAAGGTGACTTTATTGTTCAGAGCAGCCTATAGTACAGAGATAAATACACAGTAAGTCAAAAATCAAAATCCTAGAGAAAGAAAAAGAAACAGTAGTGATACATCCTTCTCAAGAAATTTAGTGTTTAAATATTCTGGATATGAGCAACTTTTATTTTCTTCAATCTGAATTGTAGATATGGCAAGTTTTTCCCACAAATATTTGTTTTAGAGATAGTTTAATATACACATTGTGAGTTTAAATTTTTTAGAATTTTTTTCCCTTATATGCACAAACTAACAAAGTGCTTCTCAAGTACTTTTTGGCCCTATATTCATTGAGGTAATTTATATATTTAAATAGGCCTAATTATCCATTCTTACCTGTGTATCTTCAAGTTCTGGAGTTCTGCAAAAATTGAAATTCAAAATTCATGATAAACACATGAGGAAGAGTAGTAGAGAGGGTTCTTATTTTGCCTCACAGACTCCTCATCAAAGCTGACATGTGTCACACTGCTCTGAGTTACAGAGGCTTGCACTTTTAGTACCAGACCACCAGTATGTCACTGCTTACAGAATGCTATTTTGGGTCCTCTGAGTACAGCCATGAACACTGAGCCTTTTGTGCAAAATATCATAAGGGCACTCTGATGTCCGTTCATAGGCTGGGATTAAAATGCAGAGAGCTCCAGCAAGTGGTATGAGTGGCTTTTTTTTTTTTTTCTCCTTTTCCCTAACAACAAGCAAAAGGAAAATAAAGTACTTATTGGCTTGTGGTGATAAGGAGGGAATTCAACTTCTGTAAGAGAATCCTACAAGTGAAAAGGACATGCCCTCTACTTGGGGATTAGCTGATGAAACAAATGATCAATTTAAAACAGGCACAAAAGTTACTAAAAAGAGAAGAGCTTTTCCACTCTGCATCTATGCCTTCTGGCTGCTGTTTAATTCAGTCTTTCTGCTCAGGAATCAAGGAAAATACAGAAAGAGAGGGCAACGTCTAGATGAAAATCCTTTTCTTTTCCTTGGTTTATTACCTAAATAGATTTATTTTATTAAATTTATATAAAACTAAATTATATAATTTATTAAATTATAATCAAATTTGTAATTAAATTATGTTATAATTTTGTTATTTATTATGATACATAATAGTAAGCTATCTGCTGATTACCAAAGCTGTTTTTAGTTAAAATTATTTTTGTATCAAATCAGAGAGGTTCAGATACATGAACGGTACCTAACATAAAACATACATCCATGATTATGTCTCAAAAACTCAATATTTTTAAGGTTTACATATGCAATTATTGTGATGAGACAACCACAGATTCCAGAAGGATACTTGCATTCTACAGTATTGGGATCGTATACATGTTCATTGTTTTTATCATAACAAGGGAAGGATAGGAGGAAAGAGATTATAACTAATGCCAGTGGAACTAATTTGATAATGTGATGTCTACTTTGCTTACCTCATATTTAAGTTCACAAAAATAAAATTTTATTAATTATCATTTGTTAAATAAATGTTAGATGCCTCATAACGTGAGTCAAAACCAAAAATAAGCTTTTTCCCTCAAGCATTTTTTAAAAATTGTGTTAAGAACACTTATCATGAGATCTACCCTCTTAAATTTTAAAGTACATAACACAACATACTAAACTATAGACAAGATGTTGTACAGCCAATCTCTAGAATGTATTTATTTTACATAGTGACTTTATACCCCTTGAGCAACTCCCCATATCTCCCTGCCCAGGCCCTGTCAACTACCATTCTACTCTCTGCTTCTATGAGTCTGACAACTTTAGAAACTTCATATAAGTGGGATCATGTAGTATTTATCCTTCTGTGAATGACTTCTATCATTTGCATAATGTTCTCTAGTTTCACCCGCGTTCTAGTGTTTATGTACAAATCTAACCTTTTATGGATATTGTTTCCTGTCTTGATATTACTTGAAGTTCTGCTTTGGGTTGCAACTATACTTTTTCAACCTGAGAGTAGTATGTTCATCACAATCCAAGGCTTATGATATGGCGTAAGTGTGCAAGTGCAAATCAGCATTTGCTCTGCTGATTGCTGTCTCGGTAAATGGATAATCACTATGGCAGAAGTTACACTGAAACAGGATTAAATTTTCTGAAGAATGTAGGGTTTGGAACTACATGTTTTCAAATGGAATACCATTGACATAGATTTGCAATTTTCTTAAGTGGAAGATATATCATAAAACACCTAGGCAAAGTGACCAACTAGATTTGGTTTTAATATAGACACAAAGTATTTTAGTTTTTTGTTTTTGTTTTTTTCATTTTTTGAGGAGGGGGAGAACAGGAACTGGAGGGAGGGGCAGCAGGAGAAGGAAAGAGAGAATTAGACACAAGTTCTTTAAATTACTTAAGAAATGTTTGTCCTCCCTGGAGGGTAAGAAGGATTAACATCAGATTAGCTGGAATCAAGTAGTCTCTATATCTATGCCACAACCAAGAATGTATACCGCCTGGACTGATGGGACTAGTCACCATAAAAACTCAGAGATTACCAGAAGTGCATTTTTCTTATATCAGGAAGAAAAGTACATGAAATCTTTCCCACATGTAGAAAGAGTAAGAAATTGTGAATACTGAATGGAACATGACAGTATAAGGATGGAGAGTCTCTGAATTAAGTGCATCATTACCCATATGAGAGTCAAAGCCATTACACTTGGATTACTGGAGCTCTCCACACCACAGCATAAGCATGAGGAAGGGGTGGATAATGCCTGAGACATTGATCCTGTTTCATATGTAGAGAAACATTCTGAGAAATTTATAGAAACATTCTGATAATCAATTAACAGCTTTCCCATGCAATCTGAGTAGAGTCTACAAATGCCTTCTGCCAGCAGGCTGAGAAACAGAGCGTGATGTTCCAGATGCTGTTAGCCAGGACTGCATTGAGTTAATCTAAATAAAAATCTGAATTAAAATGTTTCAACTCATCAATGTTCTAAGGAGCTACTCATTGATTTATTGATTACTTTTCTTCTATTTTTTTTCTTATTTATTTTTTTAAACCAAATAATTAAGTAATGTAAATCTATTGACTAAGTAAAGAATGGATCAGCTAATGAAGCTTAGATCTAGCAGTAGAGAGAAGATGAAAATCATGTTATTCAGATTCTGACCTGTCCCTAGAGGATGAACCAGATCTATTTACTTGACAGCATACACTATTCAGGTTCCTCCAATTAGGTAGGTAGGCTTAGTCCAATCAGCTGTGGTCAGGATGGTAGCATATAAAGTCTACATCATCATCACCACCATCTTGGGGCATACCATCTCAAATTAAATTTTATTCATGATGCTTTTGAAAAAAAAAAAAACTCAGGATACATGAGGATGGAAAAATTTGAAAATGTCCAAAAAGGGTTAAATAGTAAAGAAATATGACACATACATAGAAAAGATAAAGTAGACTAAGGGTTAATTGACCTGGTGACTTCACACTATTAGTTTTCCAGGTTTGTTTGCTCTCTTCTTACACTTAAGAGTAATCTTTTCCCAAGAGTCCCTAAAGCACTCAGCTTTTGTCCTATTGACTAAAATAATTATTTGTCCTCATATCTGAACAAATTATGCCAAAGAGAAATGCTGACCATTAAGTCACTCCCACACTTGGTAGTAAGAACTACTTGGATGAGAAACAGGGTAATTTCCCCCAATGAGGGTGGGGTAATTGGCAACCAATGGTATTCACTATAGACCTGTGTGTAAAAAGTTGAAAATAAAAACAATAACTTCTGCTATGCATGATTTATAGATGTTATTCTTTACTAATAGTCTAATCTGCTATACTTCCCTTCTCGTTTGAAGAGTGTGCAATATCACAATGATAAATGGGAGAAACTAAAATAATGATTAAAACAACATAAACAAGACACTAGCTAATCCATATACTTCAAACAATAACAATTTTTTTTTTTGTCAAACTCAGTAAAACTTGGCTCCTGGTAAAGAAACATTTTTTTTGAATATGGTAACATGTTGTAGTGCCTTAGAAGATTTATCCTTTAAATTATAGTTGCAGCAGCCCTTACTTTGAAATAATTAAAATTTATCTGCTCATATGTATCCATATTTTCTTATTTTTCTTTTGTTTTCTGTTTTGTTTTGTTACTGTTTTCTTCTGTGAGCAGACATTGCTTTGGAGTTCTGCATCCGAGGAGTAATTTTGTTTGATTAAACTATAACATAAATCGAAACATAGAGAAAATTGGCAAATGAATAAATACATAAATTACAAAGGTTCCCATTCTATAAAAAAACATACTTAGTTGGCCCTACATCAACAACCTAAAATATGGACATATAATCCCAGAAATGTAGAATCATCACCTCTGATTCCTAGCTCTATGTCTCTCTATTAGTTAATCATCTATTATTTTTACTTTTGCAAGATATTGTGTTAAGGTTATAGTTGCACAAAGGCAAATAAGACTCTGATCAAATCATTTCTTGAAAATAAAAAAAGCACAAATAATTTTTAAAGCATCAGGCAGGAGTAAACCAAAACGAAAACCTGATAGAAGCACATGGGAAAACAGGGAATATCAAGCTTCACTGAAAATGTGATGAAATGTGAAATATGCGTTATTTTGTCAAGAGCTGATTATGGTGAATTTTAGAAAATAACAGCCTGTTTGCAGACTAAGTTTTACTATACAACTAGGCATCCTTGTATTGCTAAAGTTCCCTAAAAAATAATAGTATCTCTAAGATATTTCGGCAATTTATGAAAGATTTTGCATGTATCTATGAAAAGAAAAATCCTGCTTAAATGATATATATTTAAATTAGGCACACATGGGTGGCTCAGTTGGATTAAGTGGCCAACTCTTGATTCTGGCTCAGGTCATGACCTCAGGATCCTGGGATTGAGCCTAAACTGGGCTCACCACTGAGTGGGGAGTCTACTTGAGGATTCTATCTCCTTCTCCCTCCTGCCCTTACCCCTGCTTATGCATGCATGAATGCAAGTGCTCTCTTTCTCTCTCCATAAAGTAAGTAAATAAATCTTAACTAATTAATGTAACCTAGTCATTGGAAATTAATATTATTTTAATATTAATTAAACAACACTTTCTTCACATCACAATCTGTAAACTAAGGAGCCATGTGCTAAATCTGGTCAGCCTTCTGGTTTCATTAAAAACAAACAAACACACAAAAAAAGTTTTATTGGAATAGAGCCATTCTCATTTGTTTACAAATTGTTCAAATTGTCTGTGGCCGCTTTCATTCTACAATAGCAGAGTTGAGTATTTGCAACAGAGATTCTTGACCTACAAAACCTAAAATATTTACTATGTAGTCATTTACAGGAAGAGTTTACCAACTCCTGCTTTATATTCATGTGATATAGTGACTACAAATGTTACACTCGTGTTTACTTTAGAATTAAATTATGTATACTTGATCAATAAATGTATTTATAAACACACATAAATATATAAAA